AGCCACCACGCCTGGCCGAGCTAAAGTAATTTTCTTTGTCAATACAGGAATATAAACTAGTACGCTTCTACTTAGGCAAATAATATATTCATGAAATGTTTTATGAAAATCAATTTTTGTATTTAAAATCAGATAGAACTGTACCACTGGGGCAATTATTTGAAGGACTTCCATGATGCATACTTATGTATAGTGAAAAGTTTATCCCTAATTTATCTACTTTGTCAGTCTGACTTTCCCCCTGTTGTTGTGCATAAGTCTGGTTTCATTTCTCCCAGGCTCCCTGTTGAAAGAAAACTCTTTTTACCCCTCTAGGTTCTGAGTTCGCTGCCTGGGAGGAGGCAGGAAACTGAGATGGGTTACAGCTGGTCGGTTTGAGGACAGGTTACCTTTCCAGGCAGACTTGGTAAAGAACGGTGATTTTAGCTTGGTGCTTGGTGTTCAGAGGCTGCAAAGGAAGATAGTTTAGACTTCCAGAAGGCAGATTTTTGGAGACACAGAGGGTGTGTTTACAGAAGGATTGGCTTTCTTGGCAAGAGAGGTGAACAGTCTGGGACCACCTTAGAGGAGACAAAAGAAAGACTGGGCATGGTGGCTCATGCCTGTAATCCCAGCACTCTGGGAGGCTGAGGCAGGAGAATTGCTTGAGCCCAGAAGTTTGAGACCAGCCTAGGCAACATAGTGGGACCCTGTCTGTGAAAAAAAATTTTTTAATTAGCCGAGTCTAACGGTGCGCACCTGTAGTCCTAGTTACTCAGGAGGCTGAGACAAGAGGATCACCGGAGCCTGGAAGGTCAAGGCTTCAGTGAGCCATGATGGTGCCACTGTACTCCTTCCTGGGTGACAGATTGAGACCTTGTCTCAAAAAAAAAAAAAAAAAAAAAGAGAAAAAAAAAAGACAAAGGTAAAGGCCACATTTGTGTATCCTCTTTTCCCTCTCCCTTATCTTCCAGATTTGTGTCATTTTATTTTAGGTCTGCTCCTCTTTTTTAGCTTTTGAAACTTAGGATATTTAAGATAAGGAAAGTTAAATACAATTTTAGTATATCTACCCTGGCTAATTAGATAACCAAAATATTCTAAAATTTCCCAAGTTTTAGACTGTATTGGATATTCTCCATCTGAATAGGTCAGAATTTAAATAATCAGAGCACATGAAAATAATAAAAAGTTAAAGTTCAATATAAAAAGCATCTGAAAATAAGAGCCCAGTGACATCAGAGAATAAACAGCATATTTTTACAAAGCAATTATCCTGGAAACTCTAGGAAGAGACTTTGGGAATGGGGTGAAAGAATAGCACTGAGAAGGTAAGGACAGGGAGGGTCAAGAACACCTTCAAGGGACCTCTATGGCATTATGGGATCACAGGATAAGCTGCTTTCTATGCCCCTACCCTGCCACAAATCAAGCTAGTTTGATGTGAACACATTTCTTGCAGTGTATTTAGAGAGGCGCCGAGGAGGGCAAGCCTTTATCCAGCAATTTGAAACTTTAGATTTCTACAGTGACCTTTGGGATCTGGACTACTATGCAACGGTTATGAAATCTTGAAGATGAGGAGTGAAGGCTGGTCTAGCATTGCGTTGGACACATTAGAATCAAAGGACTCCTGTTTACCCTTGTGACAAGACTCAACGCACATCTGCTTCCAAAAAGAGGTTTCACCTTCTGTCATCCTTCATTCAGAGTTAGACATCCTGGTAGAGCTAGGGCAGAGTAGAGGAAACGGATAGAATTTGAGGTGGCCCAGACATATTTTGTCGAATTCACAAGAGTACATTCTTTCCTATTACCGGAGGTTAAAAAAAGAACTTGCTTTAGAAAAAGTACTTCGCGCCCTCTTCATTGGAGAAGGGAAAGGCTATGAATCCAGCCTTTCTTTGTGTTTGCACAATCACTGAAGAATGTTCTTTATAACCCCTATGACTATTGCTGCCCAACTCTGCCCTTTATCACTGCCCTAATAAAAAGGGAGCACGAAAGGAAAATAGTGTTGTAAGTTTTGTTTTTTGTTTTGAGTCATTTTCTCAACACAAAAAGAGTTTCCCCAAATTGGAAAAGAAGGAACTTAATTCTAGCAGTTTGGTAAAGAGTTGAGGAATCAGATGGAGAAAAGAGATGGATTATATTAACACTCGGACAAAATAACAGAAAGTCTTAAAGTTCCAAAATTAGTCTGCAGCCTTGTTTTGAACATAGCTGGTGTCAGGGCTGCTTTTTCCATTTTTTTTAGACTCACATGTACAGAGCTGCACAATTGCGGAGGAGGCTGGCTGTCCTCGAGTGCAACCGTCCAGCAGATGGAGAGATGGTTTCCAGAGATTCAGTCTAGCCTACTATGAAGGGCTCCCACATCTGTTTTGGAAAGGCTTTATAATTTTTTTTAGGGGTTTGGCCCAGCGAATAAATGTTCAGAATCTGTCAGAGCACCTGTCTTCTGGGGTCCGTGGACGAGTGTGACTGCTGTATATATTCAGTCATATTTTATATCAGTTTCCATCAGCTGTTGCTTTTTTGGATTAAAAGAAAAAAAGACACTGCCAAGAGATTTGAAGGAAAATGCTATCCTCGAGGGAAACCCTACTCTGGAATATGTCCCTAATGAGATCTTTCCTCCCCAAATCCTCATTATTTTGTTTTGAGAGAGAGCTGGAAATGTTTTTAGTAGGATCCCTGGAAAGGGAACTATGGGGAATAACCTCGTTTGCATGTTATTTGGATGGCCTCTAATTTCTTAGGGGTGTTATGAAGTCCCAACTGATCCCTTTCCCTCCCCAAATACTCATCAGGATTCCACCATCATCTTCAGGTTTCTGTTCAGGCATCACTTAATCAGAGAGGTTTCTGTTGCCTCTCTCCTTTCCCTTCCCTATTTTATTTTTCTCTGAGCACTTGCCAGCATTTGACATACTGTATTTACTTGTTTGCTTCCTGCTTGTCTCCCTTCACTAGAATATGGGCTTTGCTTAGCTTTGAATCCCCAGCACTACTAGCACAGTGCCTGGCATGTAATAATTTCTCAATGTGTACTTCTGAATAAATTAATAGTCGAAACTGCCACACATGTTAAATGCTGTGGGCAGCAAAAAAAGCTGTGGTTTCAAATATGAGTCTAATGTTTAAAATTACCTGGAGTAGATCTGACATCAAATTGATCCTCGATTGACCTGCATATACCAGGCCAAGTAGCTTCGGAAATCCATTTATTCATTTTTCATATTTAATGTTGGGCAGGGCGCAGTGGCTTATGCCTGTAATCCCAACAATTTGGGAGGCCGAGGCAGGAGGATCGCTTGAGGCCAGGAGTTCAAGACCAGCCTGCACAACATAGCGAGACCTCATCTCACAATAAAATACAAAAAATTAGCTGGGGGCCTGTATTCCTAGCTACTTGAGAGGTAGAGGCAGAAGGATCTCTTGAGCCCAGAAGGTTGAGGCTGCAGTGAACCATGAATCCGCCACTGCACTCCAGCATGGGCGACTGAGAGAGACCCTCTCTCAAAAAAACAAAACAAAACAAAAATTCATGTTAATCTAAATAACACTGGGAAATTGACTATAAATGAAGATTTGAAGCCTCGAGTGTGATAAAAGCTTCAAGAGTTTCAAGAACTTCCCCTGTGAAATAATGGAGCTGGACAAAGACTGGATGATATCTAAGTTTCTTTTTAATTCTGAAGTGAGAAAACTTTAGGTGCGTGTGTGTGTGTGTGTGTGTGTGTGTGTGTGTGTGTGTGTGTGAAGTTGCACTGCTACATTTCGCCACAAGATGACAGTATATCATCTTTATTGAAACAGTACAGTTGCTATATGGAGTAAATAGAAGTAAATCTAGAGAGTTCATGAGGGACATAAATTACTTTGGTAAAGATATTATATGTGAGGCATTCATTAGTTTGGGAAAACTATGTATCAAAAAGAGTTAACTTCCTTTTGTAACATATGGGAAATAGTTTGAAATATAGGTTTCTTTCTTCCTCCCTCTTTTCCTGCCTGTTTTACACCTAGTCTTCCTCCTTCCTTTTTCATTCCTTCTTTTTCTTTCTTCCACATTCTCAGTTTATTATGTAACAAATTCCAAGTCAAACGAAACAGAGATATATAAGAAAAAGTTAACATTTTCACCATTTTCTTTTAATTTCACTCCTCTGAAGTAACTAATTTTGTTTTTTTTTTTTAGACGGGGTGTTGCTCTTGTCACCCAGGCTGGAGTACAATGGTGTGATCTCAGCTCACTGCAACCTCTGCCTCCCAGGTTCAAGTGATTCTCCTGCCTCAGCCTCCCGAGTAGCTGGGATTACAGGCATGCGCCACCATGCCCGGCTAATTTTGTATTCTTAAAAGATATGGAGTTTCACCATATTGGTCAGGCTGGTCTCAAACTCCTGACCTTAGGTGATCCACCTGCCTCAGCTTCCCAAAATGTTGGGATTACAAACGTAAGCCACCGCACCCGGCAGTGTCTAATGTTAATAGCTTTTTTCTCATTTCTTCCTGTATATTCCTACATATACATTCACATACAGACATACAAATTATGTTTCTTTTGAACTTTAAATTAACATCTGATCATCTGTTGGGGGATAAATTTAGATGGTTGAAAACTCTCTGTCTCTCCCTTATCATCACAAATACCACCACTACTACCACCAACACACACAGACACACACACATACACACGCCACCTCTAATTGCACCCTTGTTTCTATTTTTTCCCGTCTTGAGAAGAGAAACACTTATGGGGAAATCGAATACTTGGCCTTATGTTATTCCCATTTGCCTTCGCTGTTCTTTATACATTATGCTTTTCCAACTTTACCAGAACCACTTGGATTAAAACTTGTGGATTTCTCAGTAGGAAATGTTCTTGTGAAGACACTTCTGTAGTAAGAGAACCTATAGCTGCTCCTGTAGAAGGAAGCTGAAATCATCGCTTCAAGAAAGGGGCTCCTCCCCTTGTAATTATACTGGCTTTTGCATCCAGACTGAGCTTCCTTCCCTCACCCACATGAAGTGTCTACCTTCTGCAGACTCCAGCGGCTCAGGAACCGGGATCCAGTGCCAGGCTCGTGGTGTCCTGCAGCAGATGTGGGGAGCTTTCCTTCTTTACGTCTCCATGAAGATGGGAGGTAAGTCTCAATCTAATAGCAAATGCTGCTGGGAGTTTTCAAAACAATTTTCTTTCAGCTAAATGATTGCCATTTCTGACACTTGTAACAAAAGAGTATTTCTTAATAGATACTTTCTTTATGTGGTGCTAATTGTTATTGGATATCAAATAATAACTACTGCTGCTGCTACTTTGCTGCCATTTATTTCTAAGAATCTCCTCTTAATGGCAGTTCTTTTGTGACCACATGGAGACATCATTTTTAATAATAATGGGGCTTCCAGGAGCGCCGCCCTCGTAACAGTCATGTGTCTTATCTTAGTCACTACAGGACAAAACATTGACCAGCCCACTGAGATGACAGCTATGGAAGGAGCCATTGTCCAGATCAACTGCACGTACCAGACGTCTGGGTTCAATGGGCTGTCCTGGTACCAGCAACATGATGGCGAAGCACCCACACTTCTCTCTTACAATGTTCTGGATGGTTTGGAGGAGAAAGGTCGTTTTTCTTCATTCCTTAGTAACTCGAAAAGGTACAGTTACCTCCTTTTGAAGGAGCTCCAGATGAAAGACTCTGCCTCTTACCTCTGTGCTGTGAGAGACACGGTGACTATGAGGTCTCTTCAGCCGCAACAAAATTCAAAAAGCAACCACAGCAGCAAGAAGTTATATTTCCTGAGTGTATGCCTGCTGTGAGTTAAGACTGGGGACTTTGGAACCAGACTGCGTGGATTTGAGTTTGCTACTTTCTAGTTGGGTTATCTTAAGTCAGTCACTATTTTTTTTTTTTTTTTTGGTTTATTTGCTTATCTATAAAGTGAGAATAATAAGAGTATCTACCTCACAAGGCTGTTGTGAGTTATGACCATCTATCTATATCATCTATATCTATAGTTATATCTAGTGTTACTCAGAGAAGTAGTGGCACCCAGTAAGGTCTATTTAAGTTTAGTTATTTCAATTCCAGTCTTGAATTTTCACTAAGTATTATGTGGTAGGACCTCTGGGACTGCAACTCAGTATTTCTCTACCCTTGGTTTGTGGAAGGTGAAATCCTGACCACTATTTGTATCTTGTGGGTCTAAAGCTATTAGATGGAGTTTGTCGTTCGGGTGGATTGTTGCTCTGGAAGGATCCCTGTGGTGATACTCATTTTCTTTGGGGGGACTCTGAACTTTGGAAATCCAAATGCAAATGCTTCAGAGTGAGATGTTAAGTATTCTGATTAATTATGAAAGGCTCTCTTCATTATGTGCATCCTTGATAAATAAATATAATCAACATATTTCAGAGGTTTATAACTCAGGCTAGAAGTGAAGTTTAGGGGCTTTAGACGTGGGGAGCATGAACATAATCAGGGGAGTCTGTAGAAGATGGGAAAGAAGAGTGAACACAAGCAATTTGGTAGCAAATCTGGGTGAGGCAGGAGAGCCAGTAGGAGATTCTCATGAAAAGATGTAGTCAGTAGGCATTAAGTACAATAAAAATTTACAGTAAATGTGAAGATTTTCCTTTCCTGCTTTATAATTCCCTTATGTTCTCTTCAGATCTTTTAATGAAGTCTGTTAAATGCTACAACTTGCTGTCAGCTAGGTTTAGAGAGTACATCATTGTGTGTGGCTACCTCCACATGAGATAAAGCCGATCAGAGAGCGGAAGCTCAGATTGCAGGTTATTGGGACATCAAAAGTGAGGGCTGCTCCAAGTTAACATAGTTATATGGTCAGTCATATGCTATGCATTTTTTTTTTTTGGAGTCAAGGATTAAACAAAATTCTCTTTGGGTGAGGTAGGAGTGCTTTTTCATTCTAATTGATAAAATGAACATTTGAGGTGGAATTTGAATAGACATAGTCATACTGGAAAGTAACCTTGACAACATGAATCCAGGCCACTGAAATGTTCATGTTCCTTTTGTCTAACAATTCATTTTTTTGAGCTGTCATTTAAATAAATGCAGGTGAGAAATGAAGCTTTGATTTTTCCAGTTTACAAGGAAACCAAAGAAGCCATAGAAATGATATTTAAGGACTTTGGACTTGGTGAGTATGAATTGTTCATATAGTTATCAATTAGGGAAAACAATATTATGCAAATGATATTGTGAATGCTATGATCAATGGAATATTTTAAAGTTGTATTGGTTTCTATTCCTGCATAACAAATTACCACAACACCTATATATTAGCTTGTAGTTCTGTAGGTCATAAGTCCAAGCAAGTTCAGCTGAGTTCTATGCTTAGGACGTAACCATAGTAAAGTTGAGGCATTGGCTGGGTGAGTACTCAAGTTCTCACCCAGAGTTCAGAGTTCAGAGTCCTCTTCCAAGTTAATTCTTTAAGTTTTTTTCTATTATAAATATACATATATATGTATATGTGACGGTGTCTTGCTCTGTTGCCCAGGCTGGAGTGCAGCGGCGTGATCGCTGCTCATTGCAAGCTCCGCCTCCTGGGTTCCCGCCATTCTCCTGCCTCAGTCTCCTGAGTAGCTGGGACTACAGGCACCCGCCACCACACCTGGCTAATTTTTTGTATTTTTAGTAGAGACGGGGTTTCACCGTGTTAGCCAGGATGGTCTTGATCTCCTGACCTCGTGATCCGCCCGCCTAAGCCTCCCAAAGTGCTGGGATTACAGGCATAAGCCACCACGCCTGGCCTATTTTTATATATTTTTTAAAATTTAGAGACAAGGTATTTCTCTGTTGCCCAGGATAGAGGGCAGTGGCATGATCATAGGTCACTGTGGGATCAAATTCCTGGCCTCAGGGAATTCTCTCACCTCAGCCTCCCAAGTAGCTAGGGCTATAGGCACACACTACCATACCTGGCTAATTAATATATATATACATATATGTATTTTTGTAGAGACAGAGTCCTGCTATGTTGCCCAGGCTGGTTTTGAGCTCTTGAGCTCAAGCAATTCTCCAGACTCAGCCTTCTCAGTTGGGATTACAGGTGCTTTTTTTTTTTTTTTTTTTTTTTTTTCTGAGATGGAGTCTTGCTCTGTTGCTGAGGCTGGAGTCCAGTGGTATGATTTTGGCTCAGTGTAACCTCTGCCTCCTGGGTTCAAGCGATTCTTCTGCTTCAGCCTCCCAAGTAGCTGGGATTGCAGGCGCCCGCCACCATGCCTGGCTAATTTTCCTATTTTTAGTAGAGACGAAGTTTCATCTTTTTGGCCAGGCTGATCTTGAACTCCTGACCTCAAGTGATCTGCTCGCCTCAGCCTCCCAAAGTGCTGGGATTACTAGTTTGGGTCACCGTGCCCGGCTAGTTCTTATTATTATCAGAATTCTAGTCCATGTAGATGTGGGACTAAAGTTCCCATATTCTTAATGTTTGTTGGCTGGGGGCATTTCTGAGCTCCTTAAGGCAATCTGCACTCCTTCTCATGTGAGTCCCACCATCTTCAAACCAACAATAGCAGGTCAAGTTCATCTCATGCTTGGAATCTTTCTGGCTTAATCTTCCAAAGTTCATGTGTTTTTAAGGTCTCATGTCAACAGGTACATAGATATCTCCCTTTTAAAAAGTCAACTGTGGGCTGGGTGTGGTGACTCACACCTGTAATCCCAGCACTTTGGGAGGCCGAGGCAGGCGGATCACCTGAGGTCAGGAGTTCGAGATCAGCCTGGGCAATATGGTGAAACCCCGTCTCTACTAAAAATACAAAAATTAGCCAGGCGTGGCTGTGGGTGCCTGTAATCCCAACTACTCGGGAGGCTGAGGCAGGAGAATTGCTTGAACCCGGGAGGTGGAGGTTGCAGTGAGCTAAGATCGCCCCATTGCATTCCAGCCCTGGGCGACAGAACGAGACTCCATCTCAAAAAAAAAAAAGAAAAAAAAAAAAGTCAACTGTTGGTTCAGCGTAGTGGCTCACGCCTGTCATCCTAGCTCTTTGGGATGCCAAGTTGGTGGATCACTTGAGGTCAGGAGTTCAAAACCAACCTGGCCAACATGGTGAAACCCTGTCTCTACTAAAAATACAAAAAAATTAGCTGGGCATGGTGGTGGGCACCTGTAATCCCAGAGGCAGGAGAATTGCTTGAACCTGGGAGTGAGCCAAGATTGCACCACTGCGCTCCAGCCTCGGGGACAGAGGAGACTCTGTCTCAGAAAGTAAAACAAAACAAAACAAAACAAAACAAAACAAAACAAAAAGTCAACTGTGCCATAAAACCCAACACAATTACCAGAGTAATACTGCATCACATTCAAGATTCTGGGAATTAGGGCAGGGAATCTTGGGTCTATTCACTGAAATTTTACCTACCACATAGCAAATAAAGGATATTCATTAAGACTGCATAAAAATGGGGGGTGAGGGATTGCATTGGGAGTTATACCTGATGTAAATGACGAGTTGATGGGTGCTGACGAGTTGATGGGTGCAGCACACCAACATGGCACAAGTATACATATGTAACAAGCCAGCACATTATGCACATGTACCCTAGAACTTAAAGTAAAAAAAAAAAAAAAAAAAAGACTGCATAAAAATGGTGAACTGCTTATGATATAACAACGAATCAAGAAAACCAGGGTGCATAACTGATTATGCAGAATAATCACAGCTGCATGAAAACTTTTGGGCATAGAAAAAACAGGGAAAGGAATTACAATACTCTCTCTTTACTGCATTTCCCTTACTCAAAGTCTTAGTATGGGTAGATTTTCTTCTCTTTCTCTCTCCCTCTAGTCTCTTGACTAGGATTGGAGGGTGCACTTCCAAGATGGCTTGCTCACATAGCTGTTGGCAAGAGTCCCCAGATTCTTATCACATGTCTCTCTTTATAGTGTGTTGAGAGAGAGAGCAAGAGAGAGAGAGAGAGATTTTATAGTCCAGCCTCAGAAGTGTCATACCATCACTTCTACTGTTTTTTTCCCCCAGCTTCTAACATTTTTCTCCTTTTACATATAACAAAGTAGAAGAAATAATATAGGATTCAAACTGCAAAAGTAATTAATCAGTAGAATGTATACACACACAAAAAAATCCCCATAAGAAGACAAGCTTATTTACAATGAAGAAACACATGTACATTTAAGATAGTTCTGATATAAGACATTTAAAAAATAAAACATATCCTACAATGGGCACCACTGTTTACAGCAATATTAAAAGGGAGAAAACAATACTCATTTAATACCACAAGGTAGAGCGTCAGTGGAATAAATTCACAAAACTATGTTACAGCTTGTTAATCCATTTAAGAATTGCTCTAAATATGTCATATTTTTGGCCCTCAGAGGTCTATTTCTACAGATTTCAGATTTCAACTACTCTAAATTTCTAGCTACTGAGAGGTAGAGGATGATTATTGTCATAATTATAATGATTATTAGAAACACACACACACACACACAAAAACTCACCAAGGAGTTACAAAATCTATGGAGAACAGAGGCCAACTATCATCACCTCATGTCTGCTCTCACCAACAGCCTTGCATTTTTCAGAGAAATATCTAAAAAAGTAGTCAGACACCAGTGTGGTTATTATCTCCTATGCCAAACCTATTGGGACTGAAACAAGCAGTATTACCATAAAGGAGAACATTGAGGCTTACCTTCCAAGGCTTATTCTGGTCTCAGAAATTAATTAGATAAGATTATTTTCTATTGAAATGAATTTTGGCTAACATAAAAGACTAGTTCTTTACTAGCTGGTCTTAGGGTAAAGGTCATACACATGAG